CAAACAATTACCAACCAATAATAAACAAAATTTATCATAAGCAAAAACACTGCAGTAATCACAGACAGTGTACCAAACAATTGCTGCATACAGCCATTCCTGGTTTACATGTAAGGATTTCTTCTAGAAATATTCCAACAGCACTATATGTTCAGCTGGTTGGTGTACTATTGTCGTTCTCTGTTAAATTTGAAATACACACTCGTATTTCACTGTGAATTCTATTGATGACTTGAATCGTTTCTGTGATATAGATATTGTTCACAGACCCATTGAGATATACGCATATATTTCCCTTTTTTAGTCTCTACAGCAAAGACTCCTATATGTCTGGCATTTAACACACGGTGTTCCACAGACCTCTTTGAAATATATATATATTTCCTATAAGTAAATTCAATGAAGAACTTATTTTCTGAGACGAACACAGTGCTTCAGGCAGACCTCATGAAAATATGCACGCTTTCCCATTAAGTCGATTCAAATAATAGAATGTCAATGACAACTGATTGTCAATTTCCGGTTACACTTTCTCACGTAGTTGGCTGAAAATCATCATTCAAATCAATCCTTGTTAGTCAAAATTACTTATCTTGTTTTTCGACTGTCACAGTGTCCACCTTGTTTCTCTTGCCAGAACCAATTTACCTCGGGAAAGTACTACAGTTCTGTTCTAGTTTTCTTTTTTTTTGTTTTTGTCAAAGTGACCTTTTCTCTGGTTAAGAAAATTGTTTTATCTTAATGTGACTGCATATTCTATGTTCCGCTTAGTCCGTTTTATATACAGTACATTAGGTCCTATAACTACAAGTCGAACACAGATTCGTCTATATAAGGCACACGACGTAGCGATGACGCAATTTCATTCGGCGGCGTGGTTGGGTCGTCGATCTTTTGACAAGCGACGAATACATCAAAACAACACGCTACAGAGTACTCACAAGTCTGTCGATTTATTTCTTCAAAAACAATACTCTCTCCAGGTCTTTACAGTTCTCGCACTACGTCTAAATACCCATAAAACAATTTTCTGTTTCCTAACTTGCACAGCACAGTCGATATCTAAGCGGCCATCTTGTACACAAACCTGAACCCCTAAGTTAGTGAAAATAAACACGACCCGGCAGCTACGCTCTGAGGTTCGATATGGCTTGTCGTTCAACACTAAATTCAAGCGAGGTCAAACTAAATTAAAGTTCTACATACGATTTTGGCGTCTACATAAGTATTCTGTAATTTATCACGCTGATCGCGCGGTCTAAAATGAATTACAGTATGTGAACTAAACTATTAATTAAAGTTCGAGTTACTAAATGTAGACGGTAAACAAAAAAGAACAATTGAAGTTGCTCATGAATCAAAGTTCCAGTAGCTTGAAGTTTGAGTTATTAATAAATCAATTATAATTTTCGCAAAAGTAGGCGTGATATCTGTGGTCGTTTATTTAATGTGGCCTATCTGTAGCAACGAAATTTAAAACACATTTTATGAAAGAATTTACTTAATTATTTTGTTGTCGCATCTGTTGTCATTTTTACGCGACATATGCATGGCAATGTGGTATCATAGTCATGGTTTGTCACCTGTATCCGAGTTATGTTTCAGAATGTACGCATTTCAACACATGATACCAAGAGGATATTTTACAATAGTACCAGTATTTAAACATTCCAAAAATGATAACCAGAGTGTGCACGTAGCATGACTGTGAAGGGCATGTTAGATCCGATTGTGTTAAAATTTATCTAGTGGAATAAGCTGGTGATATGCTATAATGAATACATCTATGACATGACTATCATAGACAGTTCTTACGTTTAACGGCGATATGATAGGGTACTGCTTTTTTGTATGAATAGTACGCGATTCGTAATATTAAATGGGCTTTTTGGCATTCAGAATTATCATATTCAATATTCCAAATGCCTTCGGTTCCTTGATGATACTAGTCTATGACGTCACTCGTATCAATCAGCCATATTCTCCTCACAATACCATGTTGCATTTGTAACATATATATTATAGCAGATAAATAATACAAGGAATTGCTGTCAACAAATGCCGTTGAACCATTGGCCCTTTCAACATGATATGGGAGTGAATATAATACAAATCGATTAGTTGTTTTGTGTACACACTTTCCTACTACTATCATCGTTAAGTATTTTTACGATGATACATTCTCTGTGAGATGGAGACGTTCATTTTTTGTGACATGTGAATTTATGATCAAGTTGTCAATCTAAACCAGTAATAGTACGAAATACTTTGACTCTAAATATGTTATAGCTGGCCACGGTCATTAAGAATTGACTCGACACTCAATAAATTAATTATGACGCAAATAAATCTGACACTTTGTAATTTAAACATGAACTGTTGAATATGTCCAATACCTGTCATTCACGTTGTACTCTTTTCTGTGTGAGCTCATAAAATAGAACATGTGTGGCTTTATTGAATGAGTGAATTGTTTAAGCATGAATAGAATTTAAAAGTGCATATGTTCGTTTAATTACTCCTAGCTTGTCAGAATCGGCCAAGTGTAAATAATGTATTCCAGATTGAACATTAATCTACTAGTAAGCTCTGAAAATTGACAGTACAAGATCATAGAGTTCATATCAAGTGTAACCTCTTTCACCTTGATTTTTCTCCTAAATGTTCACGTGTTTAAATATTGAATAATAATTGATCTAAAGGTGTATGTACTGAGGTGACACACATACTGCTTATAATTGTGAAAAACTGATAAACCGATTTGTCAATTCAAAAAATCATTTCAATGTACGTATGGTGAAGTAAATTACGAAACCATTGCTAACAAGCTTACACTATATAGCGATTTATGAATTATTTATGC